ATATAAATGATAAAAAATGGCACGGACACTGGAGCCTCAGCGTTTCGAGCTCGCCTGCTAGACTGGGTGAATCCAGATAGTCCGGAAGTGGATACCGGCCGCCTCCAGGCACACATGCTGTTCCTATATAAAGCGATGTGAAGGTCGATGTGCATTCCCCATCTCAGGATGGGAGTCTGGCGTACTGTCGGCTAGACACGTCGCTCCGCGGGAATGGTATGTGAGAGACGGTCGAAGAGCGCGAGTATCCGCTGCTGCAGTGCACCAGCTGCGGCGGTGGATATAAGCGCTGGGACTGAGTCCCGTGACCGGCCCAGTCTCGATCCGCCTATGCGGACGGAGGAGACAACCATGAATTGAAACACGGACACCAAAAAGAAAGAGGGAACTTGTCATACAATGAAACACGGACCAGACACTGTAATCCTTGCAATTCCCTAGACCGGAGACTACGCCATCGGTTAGGGGTATTTTTATCAAAAATTTTTTAGCTGTACTAAAGGTAAAACACGGATCAAACGTTAAGATACTTGTAACTCCCAAAGCCGTGGGCCATATGCCGTCGGCTAGGGGATATTTTTATCAAATTTTTGGCTCAGTATTAGGCAAAACGCTGACCTCGGTTCACGAGATCGGAGCAGTAATGAAAACACAATAAAAATGGCAAAAGCATAAAAGTATAGAAATTCACAAGAACTAAAATTGGGACAATACCAACAGCCGCGCAAAGCAACACGTCGCGAGCGGACTTTAATGTTTGCGAAAGCAACACGCCACAAGCGGGTTTGAAGCGCGAGAAAGCAACACGCCGCGAGCGGGCTTGAAAATGCGAAAAAGCAACACGCCACGAATACAATGAAAAAGGAATGATCATGTCGCAGGGCTGTTGAAACAAAACATAGTCTCTCACAGTTAAGCCGAACCCCACCTCCCAGTAATTCCTGCCGGTAACCTCATAAAAGAGCTAACGGAATTAAGGCGAACTGGATCGCCACTCACTCTCCGCTCACAAATTCAAGTGAGAACATCGAGGGTTGTGGAACTCTCCTCTAGGTAAGTGTTTCCATTGAGACGAGCGCCATTTCCAAATAATGGTCTCAAAGACTAAGATATAGAGATCGTGCTGAGTGTCTGCATGATCGTGGGGACGTTAAACTAGATCCGGTCGTTAACAATTCGCTCTGGAGTACCTACCGTCCGTCCGGAGTGGTCAGGCTTGGTAGCGTATATGTAGCTCTATGCTGCTCGACCTCGTCCACCAGAAAATAAAATGTATATGGATAAAAAAAATCAAATCGGAAACAGAAACAACAATTCCTCTTCAATAGAAGAGTGCAGTCTTCGAGCTGTCCGCGTTGTCCTAACTAGGTATGACCGAATGATTAGGCTGAATACTAGGAACAGTAGGCGAACAGAAGGAATCAAGAAGGCCGTATCGACGGATCTTCGTACCGTTCGGGTCATCCTGGAAAGATGTGACGGGTTGGCAGGAAAATTAAAAGAGACGGATGTGAAGTCTGTTCCGATCTCTCGGATACGGATCACAAGAGCCCTCTTAGAAAGATGTGAAAGGGGCTTTTGGTCCCAACACATCTACAAGCCAGATGTCTTCCACAAAGAAGGACGAAATTAGGGAAACCACAGGCTGGACGCCGACTGACATCCCATCGGAATTCCAGCTGCTATTCACAGCTTAGCACTGTTGTGTTTGCGCGGAAATGCAGACTCCCGGCTTCTTGTACTACGTCATATTATGCTACTTCCAGTACGGTGATGAGATAGAGAGGCACCTCAGACACCTGGAGATGATGCTTCATCATCTGAAGGGGAGAAGGTTGTTGCTGGCGATAGACGCAAATGCACAATTGTCACTCTGGAGCCTCCGAAGAACCGACAAGCGAAGGATGGAACTCGAGAATCATCCGGGCATTTGATCTGCAGGTTATAAACGACGTCAGACCGACCTATGAGGTATCGAAGGGATCGTTCTTTATCGATGTCGTTTCCCATGCGTCAATTCGTTGATGAGTGGAGGATGAAGCAGGGATAGATGACCATAACGCTGTGGACATAAGGTTGTCAGTGCCGACGGTAAAACGGGACAATAAAAATGAACTTGCAGTGGCAATATTCGACGTGCGCCGCCGTACAGACTGGGAACGAATCTCGGAGAGTCTGCAAAGTCTCTCAAAGTCAAGGCTCGAGACACTGAACCAAACTTCCGCAAAAGAAGTGGAAACAATGGTGAAAGCGCTAACAGAGATCCTTATTGCAGCATGCAAAAAGTCAATAGAGAGGAAAAGGCGAATGAGGAAGTCGAACACGTAATGGACAATGGAATTTACCCACAAAAAAAGAAGATCCATAGACTGAAAAAGAACTCCAGATGGAGAGGAAACCGGGCAAAAGACCTGATAGCGCTGAATTGCAACGATCGCTCAATGCTGCGACAATACCGCAAAGAGACCAAAAACGCTAAAAGAGATAACTGGCGCGAGTTCGTAACGAAACATGAAAGCGAGGAACCCTGGGGCTTTGTGTATTACCAACAGGCGGACAAACTCAGGGCAGAAAAGGTCCTCAGCACACTCAGAAGCGGTGAAAACTCCACGAAAACAGTGGAAGAAACGACCGAAAGATCGAAGGGATGAGGACACGCCGGAGCAGCGTGAAATCAGAGAAAACATGAAAGTTGTGCCAGATATGGCCGATGCTCCGGAGAGAGAGACATAGCCGCGGCGGTAAGAACAGGCCTCCATGTCTTCTCTCGGTAATAGAGAAGCTCTTTGAAAAGCTAATAAAGATGCGTTTGGAGAACACATTAGCAGCAGACAAAATCTCCGATCGACAATATATTCAGACATGGAAGGTCGACGGAGGATGCAGTTGTGGAACTGGGTCGGATGGTTTCCACATCTGAAAGTAGGTACACAATCGCACTGCTCTTCGATATCTCGGACGCATTTGACAATGTTTGGTAGCCTTTGGTTCTTGACGGTCTGAAGAGTTGAGACTGCCCTAAGAATATATACGAGATAATGCAGAACTATCTCAGGGACCGAAGGGTCAGGATTTCGGGTTGCAATTTGTGGTATCAAGAGAAGCGGAAAGGGAGTGCCCCCAGGGCTCGGTGCTCGGTACGGCTTGTTGGAATCTCATGTTCAATGGACTGCTAAAAGTGATGGAGGTCCCAACCGAGAGTCGATTCATAGGATACGCTGATAACCTCGTTGTCCTAGCGAGTGGCAACTCGTAAAAAGAAATAGAAATCGAATGTCAGCAAGTAGTAAACCTCGTAGAGGACTGTAGGCTAGCGAAGCTTCAGATCTCGGAGAAAAAGACCGAGGTTATTCTGCTCAGGAATGAGCAGAATTTGATACGAAATTCGTAAGGCTCCAATCGGAAGGAGAAAAGGTGACCGTCCGGATAGGAAAAAGAAAAGAAACAGATAGGTGGTAGATTTTATCAATAGACCACCAGTAATGAGTTTAGGAAACTCACGCATAGCATTCAGAAAGTCGATAAGATAATCTCGGCGTAAATCTAGATAGAGGCGTGAGAGTTAGATCACACTGCCAATTCGTCAGCGACACAGTTGGTGCACTCTTCGCAAAACTTAGCAGATTTGCAAGATCGGAATGTGGCTTGCAAAACAGAGCGCTCTCCACAATTTATTGGGGAATATTCGAACCGACAGTCGTATGCGGCTGCGGGGTGGATCGACTTGTGTACAAAAAGCGACATGCGAATCTTAAGAGCCGCGCAGCGCAGAACTCTGATTTCTCAAACAGGCATATATCGCACGGCATCATGGGAATTCCTATGCGTAGTGACAAATCCCCATTGACATACTTCTTTTGATGCACAGAGCACGATGCCAGATTAGAACAAGTAGTAACGCTGAAATTGAAGAGGTTGTGATAGAAAGTACAGTAGAAGAAGACAATATAGAATACAAATAAGGAATGAGGCAATAAAAATGTGGCAGACTTGATGGGAATCTTCAGAGAGAGGTATCACATTCATTTTCTTCCAAGATGTTCGAGAAAGATTGAGCGCGGTGGATTAGCCCCAACCACTAGTGCACGCAGATGCTCATAGGACACGGAATCTTTCGTGCAAGATTGACCTTGCTGGGACTCGTCAAGGAAAGCTGCTGCTG